TAATAAATAAATAAATTTTAAATCGTATAGATAGATTTATCGTCGAAAAATATGCATGAATATTTGTTTATTTGTTTTAGTATTTAATTTTTTTTTTTTTTTTTTGAGATGAAGTGAAATATCTATTGGAAATGACAGAGGCAGTGAATTACCAAAGTTTTTTTTATCCTATAGTAACTGATGTTTTTACATTTTATTAAATAATTTCTAAGATAGATATGTCGGCTTTATGATTTATCTAAGTTTTTCTACATGGAAATTAAAGTTGAATATCTATAATATATATATATATTAAATACGCCTTACAAACTGTGAACAAGGTAAAGTATCCTCTGGCAGGGAATTAGCATTTTAATTGAGCTCTTTTCAATCAACACTAAAAACGATAAAAAATTGCAGCTTTCATGTGTGTGTCAATTGGAATGTTTGAAATCGTTAATTAAATAGTGGACAGAATACTAAATTGCTGAATATCAAAAACAAAAATTTCGTGGAAAACTGTCAAAAAGGCAGTATTATTCCAAATAAATTGAATACAAATATCTATCGACAATGGCTAAAAATATTGCATACTTTTTGGCGGGCGAAAAAAACGAAATGTGCCAATAATCTAATCTAAAATACACACAAATCTTTAAAGCGTTAAAAAAAAATACAATATTAAAATGAAACAAGGCAGGCAGGCCTTAAATCCTCTTTGTATTAAAAAAAAAGTCGATTCATAGAGAAATATTTGTCATAAAATAACTATCTGAACTATTCAGATAAAAAAAAATAAAATATATTTTATTTAAAATGGGTACCGCAAATCTGGAGATGCCGGAGTTGATCTCCATGAGCGGTCGCACCAATCATTTAGCATTGCCCGACGTGAAGCGCATTACGGAAAAAAACAAATTTATGAGCGAATCAAAGAATACAAGTATTGAGAAACTAACGGAATTTATTGCTGGACAAGAGCAGCAGTGCCTGGATATTACGAATCTGTTAAAGGAGCAGGTCAAATTGAAGATGGATGCTTTGCGGCAGGTGAAGGAGGATATGCTAGACCTTCAGCGTCAGCTAAAAGCCCCAGATGCCGCTCAACGCTTCACCAAAGGCCACAAGGTGCTGGTCAAGTTCTGCGATGAGACGGAGATGAACGAATACGAAGTGCCCGATGCCCTGGCACGCTACAGCCTAAAGATGAGTGGCCTCTATGGCGAAATCCTGGCACTCGATAGCGATGTCGACTATGTGGGCTATCTGGCGAGCATTGCTAAGGTGAACAAGGAGTATGTCGAGGATTGGTATAAGCGCGATAAAATCAACAAGGGAAAGTTGGCAATCGTTAAGCCGAAAGCACTGTGAAGTATATCACTTTATGTATACTTATATGCATATTTATTTATATATGTATACAAATATGTTATATGTTAATTTGAAACATTTTTCAACAGTTTCGATCAAATTCAATATTGTATTATATGAGGGCCGAACGGGTACCATATATACGTGTTGTACACTAAACTGGAAATGATAACAAATAAAGGATTATATGCGTCATTTAATTCACTTTTTGTGCTGTGACTATATCAATAATATTACGATTATTTCATAATGAAGAAGAGTGAGCAATCTAAAAGTCATCAAGATTTATGGGTTCAGGATATAGTCGGGACTAACGTTTGTTTCTTATTAATTTTCACATTTCTGCTATTCGTTTTTTATTAAATTTTATTATTGTTTATTTTTATTACTATTGTATTTTTTTATTTTTTTATTTTATATGATATACCAAAAGATTCGAATTTTACCAACTTCTAACATTTTCTCTTCTTATTTTTTATTTCTATTTCTACCTTTGAACATTTTAAAATCTTTATGAACAACTTTCATTAATACTATTATTATAGTTATTGTATATGTTTTAACGGAACTGAAAGTATATGGCTGCGAATTAGAAATGGGATAGTCTCGCCCTAATTGTAAGGAATTTCTATTATCTCTTAGATAAATAAAATAAAATACATTAAATGAGTAAAGGAACTTTTAAATACACTAATCTCTTAATTCATTATTTGATGCTTGACTTTTAATCTCTTTTCATTCAATAATGCATATTTTTATTGAAAAAACTACCATGGTAAAGATTCATTCTCGAATTTAATGTAACTTTCTCATTAAAGTTTTCGATTAGTTTCGACCAATATGCATCAATTTATCTTTATTACTCAAAAGTTGTTATCATAAGTTAATATTTCAATTCAATAGTTAATAAACTTTTACTAAAGTAAGTTTCCGATAGATATTTCATAGAAAGCTTCACAGCATTTTTCTTATTTCTCAACACTGCATTCTGTATTCAGCCGCCCAACGCGTTTGCTTGGCTTCTCGATTTGCATGCTCCATTCATGAATAATCCGTGTGACACTTGCGTTTTATGGCTTTGCATAGTTGGTTGTTTTTATTGTTGTTGTTGTTGTTATTATTCTTCTTGTTATTGTTGTGGTGGTGAATCAGAACTAACTGCAGTTAGAAGAGAGCAGCAACAGCCAAGAAGAAGTTGCCCAACAGGTGGCGTTGCCAGGCAATTTTTCATGCTGAATGTCGGTGCTGATAGCGCACTGTAATTATTATGCTGGACTCTCGCAGCGCATGCATAAGTAAACGAAAAGAGCCAGACACCAGGAGGAGTAGGAGGAGGAGGAGGGAAGAAAAGAGAGAAAGAGCGAGAGGTTTATGGATTGTAAATGGCTATGGAAATGGGTTTCAAGTAGTTGCTGCTGCTGTTGAAACGCATAAACGCCTCCAGGTATGCAAATGGATAAATACATTCAGATGCAAACTTAAACAACAAGAGGCAAAGGTAAATTCAAAGAGCCGAACATAAAATACCCTATATAGCGAGGTGATACTGTAAGAAAAAATGGTAATTTGTTATTTCTATATTTAATTTAATAACTAAACTATAAAACTATTCAACTGCAACAAAAAAGATTGATATATTTGATTTTTTCATAATATTATTTTATACCTTTATAAATTACTATACAAAATATCCCATCATATCAAATGGGAGTTTGTATTTGTTTTGATATTTTTCACAAAAAAAAAAAGAACTTATTATAATTGTGTTGCAAACATTGAAAGCGGAATAAAGCTCGCAATCAAAATGGTTTACCAAATGGCGGCCATGTTTGTGCACAACAGCAAAATGGCGTCCGACATCCGTTAAAGCGCCCAGCTACCTAATGCCAACTGCTGAGCGAGCTCCATCTCTGCGTTTCCCTCCCTCCCCCATCCCCCCCTCTCACTCTCTTCCTCAACAGCACTTCCGCAACACTTTCACTGTAGTTTCTCCTCCTACCACTTGTTGTTGTTGCTGGGTGTCTGCTACAATTCCGCTTGGCAAAAGTTTGTCCAGCTTTGTTGCTGCTGTTGTTGTTTTTGGGCTCAGCTTCCGTTGTCGCCAGGCTGCTCAACTGCAACTTCCTGTCCACTCACCAACACCAGCCAACTCTTCTCAGCCCTCATTGGTGCTGCCTGGCCAACTGGCTTATTTAGCTTTGGTTTAATTTGACAAAACAGCGTATTTAAGCGCTTTGTAATTTAGGTAGTTGTTGTTGTTGCTCCTGCTGCTGCTGCTGCAACTGCTGCTATGGCCGAAAGGTCAAAGGATACCGTGAATAATGCAGCAAACAACAGCAGCAACAACAACAATGTTGCACGGTTTCGCCGAGTGCCGCTTACAGTTGCTAATTGAGTTGCGATGCTGTGCAGGTTGTCTAATGTAGGTAATTAGTGTTGCAAGCTGCCAAAAATAAAAAAATAACGGCGAGAAAATTGAAGTTGGCCAAGACAACAGCTGCAGCGCCAGCAGATGCAACACCAAAAACAACAACAATAACAACAACAATAACATCAACAACAACTTGAACTGTCGCAGCAGCAGCTGCTGTCAATTTGCATAATCAGGTGCCTTGGCAGCGACAACTTTGTATCTTTTTGAAGGATTACGAGTATTTCGTACTTTTCGGACTACTGGATTAACGGTGAGACGAAGTAGTAGTGGAAGACAAGAAGGAAAACAGGATAACAATTTCATAGCGAAAAGTTAATGAGATTTGCATGCTGAAAATTTTGCATGTAATGTAACCAGAGGAAAAAAAATCTTTAAAATGCGTGAAATGTTAAGCAAGGAAAGCTCAGTGAAGCTAAAGCATCATTACAGCTCTGATCATGAAAATAATAGTGCGGCTGAGTATGAAATTTTTAAGAATTGTCTGTTTACCAAAAACCCGAAAATCTTAAGAAAACTTTAGAAGCTTCCCAAATGACTCTAGCACAGAAACTGAATCAGAAGTCTTTAGACTACCCATCCCACTTACCGGATAATTTCATTTGAATATTATCAGAAGACAATATAGAAATATGCCCTTATCGTGGCTAAAAAAAATAACGTGGTGATCATATCTAACTTTACACAATAATACTTCATAAGTTTCAACAACTTTAAAACTCATTTACAAGTGCAAGTTTTAAATAAAAACTCAAATTTAATGTTAAAATTTTCTTCACCTGCATTTCACTAACAGCAAGGAGCAGCTCTACTAAGTGTTGTATTTATTTGTCATCAATATCAATATCAAGTCTTATTTTACTCCCTATCATCAAATACACTAGACAATTCTCAACATGGTCAAAGTAAACAAGAAAATCTTTTAAAAATTCAGGTTTTAAACTTAACTCATCTTTATAAAAAATCCCTAATTCAGTTGCTATAAATGCAGAATTTTATAAGCGTTTGCAATTTGCAAATAAAATTTAATAATTTTATTTTTTTTTTTTTTAAGAATGAAGTAATCAAGCAATGATTTATTAATAAATGCACTATCAGTTTTTTTTTTAGAAGAAGGTGAATTCTAGAATTCTAAAATGAATCCTCATTTACTGTA